TGGAGTGCCTCCAAGGATTAAATTGGGGAAGCTAGGTTTGCTGACCCCCAAAGCTAGAGCTAAGTGTCTTCAGGCTAAGGTTTATGGTGAAGTGGTGTGCCCTGTGAATATTTATCAGCAGCCTTAAAATAACTTTGTAACATTGCTGAGTGGGGATAGGCCAGGTCAAGGGACTGAGGGCCAGAAAGAGTCCTGCCTGTGGGCATGGCTGAGGAGAGGCTATCCTGACAGAGAGAACTCTGCCCTGAGCATTTTATGATTCTGCACTGAAGCATGTGAACTTCTCTAATAAGCCCCATAATCATGTTTCTGAGTTCTGTGTGGTCACTGTAAGGAATTATCATACCCAGCTGTGGAGTACAGATGCTAATGGAGGGATGGTTGCTGCCAATTTTGCAAGTGTATGTAAGTATAAATGGTGATAATTTTTTGCAAAAATAGAATGATCACTTACAGTAGTCTGAAATTAAAAGGGCATTTGCTTTTCCAGTAAGCATTTGTCCAGGGATAAAGCTCAGAAGGCAGGAAGGAACAGGAAAGAAGCAAGGATGGAAACAGGAAACACAAGGAAGTGTGAAGAGTGCTGTTTCATTGTGGGGATCATAATCATTGTCACAAGTCACAATGTGAATGAATTGTTGAAGAGAAAACCAATTTGCTTTGTTACCTTCACTCAGATCACAATAAAAAGTTTTTAAAAGACTATTAAAGAATTAGACTGATGAAGGCACCCGCTTCCTTGAACAAAATCAAAATGGTGTCAGTTTAGCAACAACAACAGCCAACCCCCAGGGCAATGGAAAGGGTTGTCCAGGAGCTCAGGCCAACAAGGCCAAAGCCTTTCAAGGCCCACTTAAGGAAAGGCCAGCAGTCCCACCATGGAATTGTGCAGAAAAACACTCTTTCAGCCACTGAATATGAGATCACCGCACAACTAGAGTTGGTTTCTTTCAGTGGTGGAGAATCAACTCTGTCTGATTTTTTCCCCTATCATCACGATTACATTCTTCAGTAGGTTACGGATATATTTTCAGAGAGGATATATAAAGAGTGAATCTTTTACCTGACCAGGATAACATGCTAAATCATTCCAATAATTAACACTGGGGAGGGAGGTCATGCTTGGTTTCACTGAGGACAAAGAACATGCTTGGGAGTCTAGGACTTTGGCAGGGATCCGAGAAGTCTGGATCTGGAGAGAACCCTTAGGCAGTCCTAGGAAAGAGAGAGGTTGTGCCAATAGGCCAAGCCAATTTTTCATTGTTGGATTAAGGGATGATATGGGATGACTCTGTGGGGGCCTCTGCAGGTGGTTATTCGCTTTGTGAGTTTGAGAGCTGGTCTCAGTTACAGTCCCTTGGAGTTCAGGGTATTTTCCAATTAACCTGGTTCAGGAGTTCCTGGATAGTACAAAAGGTTACACGATCAGCTACTAAGCAGAAGAAAGGCCTGGTGATCTACTTCTGAAAAACCAGTTACTGAAAAACCTATGGAGCACAATTCTACTCTGATACACATGGGGCGGCCACAAAAAGGGGGTCAACTCGACAGTAACAGGCTACCTTTGACCAAGACATGGAACTCCCTTCACCTACCTCTTAACAATCAGTCTTGGTTCTCAAATGCTTCCTGAGCCACCTCTCTAAGTCCTTTAGTGACAGGTGAAGGTGGCATCATAACCCCTCTTGTATTCCTGACAAGGCAGAAAAGCTGGGTGATTACATAACATTTTCCAAGTTCACAAAGCCTGGCAGGGGGCAGAGCTGAGCTTGCCCAGGGTCCTTCCTTGTAGTTCACTGTTCTTCCCACCACTTCACCACCCACTCACTTAGTTCCACCAGAGTAGATTGGAAAATCCCAAAATAGTTATTTGGAAGCTACCAGAAAAATGTCACAAAAATATGAAATGGGCTAGTTCTCTAGGCTGAGGGCATTTGACTGTACCATTATCATCTTGCTTGCATTTACTTTGGGGGTTAGTTCAGGTCCTTACCTGGCCACCTCTGTCTGAGATGGGTACCACCCAGGGCATGCAGGCTTGGTCAATCTGGATTGGTGTAGGGCTCCTGTCTAGCCCTGGACTCCCTTCCATCCAGGCCAGGGTCTTTGGCTACCTCGGATCTGTATCTGGGTGACCATCCTTTGAACATGACTAAGAGGCATCCCTGCCCTGTACACCACTGCACAGGCAGCATCCACAGGTCATGACGTTATGTTGGTAATTAGACCTTCATCTTCCTGCTTCATTTTTCACACCACCAGTTGCTGCAAATTGACTTAAACTCATGACCAACCCAGGTGAGTCAGAGTAGAACTATGCTCCATAGGGTATTCAATGGCTGATTTTTTCTGAAAGCAGACCACCACACCTTTCTTACAAGGTGCCTGTGAGTAGACTAGAATTCCCAATCTTTCAGTTATCAGTTGAACTCTTACTGTTTGTGGCACTCAGGGACTCATCTAGTAGCTCTCAAACGACTTCAGGCATCAGCATCCCCTGGTAGGCCTAAAGCCCAGGGTGCTAAGCCCACCATCAGAGTCTGACTCAGCATGGCTGGAATGGGCCCAAGAATGGGCACTCCCAACAAGCTCCCAGGGGATGCTGATGCTGCAACTTCAGAATCAGCCTTGGGAACTGTCCTTCCAGGTCAGTTGGTTTCAGCTGGCTGCACAGCAAAGTCACCCAAAGGGCAGAAGACACAGGGAGGAATGCAAGAACCAAAGTGAATAGAGACAGATACTGTTAACTGATGATGCATGAAGGGGAGTGTAATCATTGCAATGAAATGAAGTCTATAATTTCTAGACTGTAAAACTGATGATCTGCTCTGTAAACCTGCACTCAATTCACAATAAAAAGGTGAGAAAATAAATAAATAAACCAATGATGCCAGCCCAGCCCACGGTAGTCAAACATGCAGAACCACTGGGTATGAAGAGCTGGAGGACCTTCGGCCCAACTTTGTTCAATTAGACTTTGCTGTTTTGGATAGATCAAATAAAGCATAATTCTTTTTGTAGCATTGGAAGGTAATGCATTATTAATGTGGTTAGGGAATCATTGAGTGATTCCAGTAACAGAAAAGTTGGCAGTTCAAACTGACCCAGAGGTACCTTGGAAATAAGGCTTGGTGATCTGCTTCTGAAAGGTGTCATCCTAGAAAACCTTATGGAGCACAATTCTACTATGCACACATGGGGATGCCATGAGTTACAATTGACTGTACAACCTGATGTTGTTGTCAGGTGCCATCGAGTCGGAACCGACTCATAGCGACCCCATGCACAGCAGAACGAAACAATCTCCGATCCTGGGCCAACCTCACTACCGCTGCCACAACCGAGTCCATCAATGATGCCACCTGGCTGATCCATCTCATTGGGGGTCTTCCTCTTTTTCTCTGACCCTCCACCCTACCCAGCATGACATCCTTCTCCAGCGATTGTTTCCTCCGGACAATATGTCCAAAGTAGGAGATAACCTTATAATCAAAGGTTAATCTTTGGTTATTCTGTTTCAAATTCTTTTGTATGTAAACAGAAGGAATCTCTGGATTTGGTGACCTAAGGTGGAGCATGGTAGGCTAGGGGAGGGGGCAGAAAACCTGAGGAAGAAGACAACGATTTGCCTTTGGTGGCTCGGGACTTAGAAGATAGATGATTACACTAGAAAACAACTCAACGCCTGCTCTGAGACACAATGATAGGCTGGAGAGACTGTGGATGGCAGACCAGTCCTGAGCATTTCTGAGCTCTGGCTTGCTGGACCAGATGTGGACCAGGCAACAACTTGCAGATAGCCAGGGGTCAGTCAAGGTAGAGCAATCTGACCTCAGCCCCGGAGCACAGACAACAAAACTTCCTCTCCTCAGAACGAGGACAGCAGAAGTAACAACATAGTTGGAAGTTTAGAGAGAGAAGGTATTCCGTTCTATTTCTTTCAGTCTTGCTCTAAGTTACCTATGTTGTGCTTTTCCATCACAGGATACATCACAGCTACAATGCTATACCTGTCTGTGTGACCTTTTCATGCACATTTCCCTGAGGGAAGGAGGATGTATGTTTTTGTCCATTGTTTTATCCTGGCACATAACATTATCCCATGAGTACTTTGTGAATGAATGGATGTTATGGAATAATGTTGGAATTTTAATACAGAATTTGTAGGTTTTTTTTTTTTTTTTTCAGTTTTTTTTTTAAAGGAGCAACTATCACAGCATCTGAAAGTAGTTTTATGTACAGATTCACAAACACACACCCCTTGCCATTTCCTGGCTTTCTTCCCTGGTCAGGTCTGGCAGCAGTCCTAGTCTAGTATAGGACAGTCACATGACTTCAGGGCTCAGAGAGGCATGAGCCTTGAAAACTCAAACTGGTACGCACAGGCCAACGGGTGGGTGAGGGAGGACCAAGGATACTCAAGACAATGGCACACGGGCCAGCTGCCCATGAGCCAGTATGCACTCACAGTGTGTGCAAGGAACAGAAACCACTCCTTGCTGAGTTGTTTTCCCCTCAGGGAGGCGTGACAGTCACAGAGCCCAGCTTCTGGGACACCTCACGGAAGATTTATTTCCATTATTTGCATATATTGGTTAACAGTATCATGAATGGAATGGAATTTCATACAGTTATAAGTTTTAAATATAAATAAATTTGCACACTTTCCTCAGACCCCTACCCTAACTGGAAAACATGTGGTTAAACCTTAGAAGACTTAACTGATTCCTTTTTCACATCTGTAACCAGAAAAACAACAACAAAAGGATAGCTCATCCAGGGGAGGCTGTCCCTTTCTATGAGTTCATACAAACACCTGGCTAAATCTGTAATGTCGAGGGTGGAGAAAAAGAAAATGAGTTTTTAGTTAGTTGAGGAAACTGTCAAGAGTCATAAGTGGTGTCCCATGGGGCGGGTCATGGTTGTTGCGCTGGAGGAGATCTGGTTTGAGGGTGGTCCCATCTGGTTGTTTCTAATGGTCATGCCTTCTTCAGGTGCTCCTAACTCTTAGAAAACTTGGGGTTCATAACTGTGGTGGTGGCACTCTTGAAAAGTGGGTTATCCTGGTGAGAAAGGAGAGTGATGAGTGGTTAATGCAGGAAGGCTTTTGAGGAGCAGATTCTTTCCCTGGAGTTTCTGGGTCAATATCAAAGATGTTACTTTGAGGAAAGAGCTAGAATTGGGGGTGACTTTCATAAGAGTTCTAGTCAGGCAGGCAAAGCCTTTCTCCAGCACCTAACTCTGAGGAGGCATTGTTGGCAACACAGCCGACATCCATCCCTTCCGGAATGACATTTTAAAACACAGGAGGCAGGGGTCCCTCTGTTATTTCTGCCACCCCTTGTCCCCCAGAATGGCCACTCACAGTGTTCCACTGGGACTTCAGCTTCTCCTTCTCAAAGCGCTTGTACTCCCTGCGGTCATTGATTTGGGTCAGGGCCTTCCAGATGATCAACAGGAGGACACCGATCAGCACTATGCCTGCCACTGTACCCCCCACGATGGCAGCCACCTGGGGACCCTCCACGCACTCTGTGGGAAAGCACATACCCACCATGCCATCAGTTCCTTCCATCTTCCTCACACCTGTGGGTGCCCATGTGTCTCAGGACATTGCCCCATACTCTGCAGAGACAAGGTGAGTCCCCTCCACCCTGGGTCATTGTCCCATTCAGTGGGAAGGGGACAAAGCAGACCCTGTGATTCCAAATTTAGAGGCCATGAGCATAGCCACTTGTCACAGATGAAGAGAGCAGGGCCTAGAAGGGACCAAGGTAACCAGATGACTATGTAGAGCTGGAAGGAGACAACCATCTGCTGAAACAGCCTGACCACCGATATCTAGAGCACAGCCCCTAGTCAGGTTAGGGATGGTGACTCAGGTGGTATCTCCCAGAGCTCATGCATCCTCCCTTTGATGGAATTCCCAAAGGAGAGAGTGTATGAAGGAAAGGAGCTTGAGGAGCAGGGCTGGCGTGGGTCCCTACACCTGTAGTGGCTGTGCCTGGTCTTGGCCTGAGCTCAGGGCTCTGGGTTGTACAGTGTATCTACCATCCATGGCCCACACGCAAAGACAGTGCAGTTCTGTAAGATCCCCCATCCATCTGACCCTGGGCACTAGCTTTCTTGTATGTTCCCAACTGTCCTGGCCCTTGTCTAGAGAGGCCTAATGTCCTCACTGAAGTTAGAGAAGTTAGCCACAGCTGGGCAAAATCAGATTTGGACCATCTCTGGCCATCAAAGTAACCTGGAGAGAGTCATCAGCCTAGTAGGCTAGTCTATGCCCATGAACAGGCTGGTCATCCCCAGTTCCATGCTCAGAGGGGCCTGCTCCCACTGTTTGTCCATTGTGGTAAAAGGATATGTTCTGCCAGAGAAGGCCTTAGACCTGCAAGTGTTTGGTCTCTGGGTCCTTGCGCTCCTGTGGTCACGAGGCCCCCGTGCCTCTACAACTGGTACTCCTACCTCATCAATCTTGCTAGGTGGGAATGGGATGCAGTGCGTGAGGTACTGAGAATCTACACTCAGCTTGTTTCCTGGGGGCCCCAGGTGTGGCACTGTGAAGACCATGCCCATCACCTCTTGTTTCAGCTGACAGTAAGTTCCAGCATCCCCAGTCACTCAATGTGTCTGTTCTTGTTTGACCTGACCCCTCTTGTACCTCCCAAGCCAATGTGTAGGCCCCTGGGGTCCTGGATATGCCATCCATCCCTACTGCTCCCCACCTCTGTGTTCCATCTGAAGTTGGTTCTGTGCCTGGGCTGTATGCTCATCACTTTCCAAGAACCTGATCTGGCCCCATCCGCAATTCCAGCCCCATCTCCCAAATCTCCTATGCCCATGTCCCTGCGTTCCTTCTCCACTCAGTCTCCAAGCTAGCTTTGAAACTCAGATGGGCCACCTCTCTTCAATGCTGCCCTAGTTCTTGAGTACCTGGGAAAAGGAGCCTGCATGTCCTGCTTCCCCTGGCACAGACTGTCTCCGACATACACTTCTCCTCTCCAGTCTCTTGCTGTGGTCAGGAGGCCCTGGCCTCCATGTCCTTGAGTCTCAACTGGAATCCGATGCCCTGGCCGCCATGTCTTTGAGTCTCAACTGGAATCGTCTCTTCCTCAGAGGCCTTTGGCCCATGACTTTGAGGACCCTGACTCCCCCACTGTCTTCTCTCCCTCCTCCGTGACCCTCACCTCTCTTCAACATTATGGTGGGCATTTGCTTCCTTCCTTTCTGATTCATTGTCCCCTAGCCCCTGGAAGTGTGGCTCTGTGAAGAAAAGTGTCCCACACCCACAGCTGTCACTGCACCTGGTCTGGAACTGGAGCTGAGGGTCATCAGACAAAAAAGCATGTGGACTGGCTCCAGGACTGAGACTGGAGCTCCCAAATTTGCCAAAATCCCTGTGGTGATCCTGGCATGCATGGCCGGCCTGTGGACCACCTATCCACCCACCACTGCAAGCCCACTTCCTCAGCCATAGGGTTGGGGAGCCAGGTGCTGGGCTGCAGACTCAGGATCCTGCCCCATGAAGTTGCTCCCTCCCTCAGTCCTAGGCAGCTACAGCAGCATTGCCCGGCTGCCACACAAAGACCACTCTTGCCACTTATGATGCAACCTCACCTCGTGTATCCTTCACATGGATGAAATATTTCTCTCTCCCAAAGTCCTGCTTCAAAGTGTAGCTAATCCAGCAACCCTCTGAGTCTTGTTCCTTGCACGTCCGGCCCTGGAGGACTTCCTCTTGCAGCTTCAGGTTCTGGCACGCCACACTGCAGTTCATCCCAAAGGGGCCCTTCTGGAATTTCAGACACTCTGCACAGGAACTATGCGGGAGAAGGGCTGGTGAATTCGAGTGTGCAAGAGTGTGTACAGGCATGCCCCAGGTGTGTGAGTGTGACAACGTGTGTTGATGTGGGGGGTATGCAGGTCTGCAAGAGTTTGTAAGAATTCGCACAGGTATGCAAAGGTTATGCAGGGGTGTGAGGTGTGCGGGTGTGCAAGATGCTGTACGTATGTATACAGGCATCTGTGGGCATGCAGGAGGGTGTATAAGTGTGTGCTGGTGTGTGAGAAGGTACACAGGTATGAACAGTGTGTGGGTGTGCATAGGATTGCAAGAGGTTGTGTACAGGCGTGGAACTGGACTGGAGTCTAGAGTACCTAGCCTTGGGTGAGAGATGCAGACATGAGATGGCTCTGTGCAGGGAGGTGGGTGTTGAGACTCCTAGAGGGCAGCCCTCCCACAGCCCACCCCCAAACTTACACGTGTTTGCTGCAAGGCAAGGGGCAGCCTGGGCACTCCAGGCACAGTGGTGGCTGGTAGCCAGGGTCACACTTGCACACATTGCAGTGGCAGCTCCCACGCCCACTGCAGACAATTTGCTGCTGGTTCACACAGCCATGGGTGGAGCTGCGACATTGGCACGCAGAGCCTTCGAAGCCTGCGTGGCAAAGACATTTGCCACAGCGGCAGGAACCCCTATCTGCAAGACAGCAGGGGCTGGCCTTAATCCCTTTGAGGCCAGACCAGAGCCCCTCGGACAGCCCTGCTGCCCCCCTACTCCTGTATCCCATCCCAGTGTGCCTTCTTTAGGCCGTTGCTCACATTCTCCAATATTGTGTCTATGTTACTCACGAGGACCTAGGTGGGACCTGCACACCCACCATTGACTCCCTTCCTCCTTTTGCCCCAACCAGCAGCACACCTACTTAACACCTTGTCATCCAGGCCACCATTGATCAGCCTGGGTCCCGGCTTCCCACTTGTACATGGGGCCACCTTAACTCCACAGCCAGGTTTGTTTTGAAAAAGGCTGAGGACGCCTGTGCTGTGCCCATATCAGGGCCTGTTGAACTGTGGGGGAAGACCCTCGGCTCCCTGTGGGGCCCACCATGTACACCCACCCTCGCCGCCACAGATCTGGCCGTCGTATCTCTCGCAATTGAAGGTGTCACATTCGCAGTAGCGCCCGTAGATCTGCTTCTTAGGGTCATCCACCCGGTGGCAGATGCATTCCCCGCAGATGCAGTCCCCCAGCCCTGAGCACACGATGGAGCTGTTGTCCTTCCGGCAACTCCCCTCCAGCTCCTGGCTGCTGCGTCCCTGCGTCTTGCACTCACAGCTCTTCCCGATGAAGCCAAGGTGGCACCTGGAGATGAGAGGGGCTTGACAGTCAGGAATCCCCTCTACAATGCTGCAGCCACTACTCCTGCCTCTGGAGCCCTTGTTTGAGGTTGAGAATAGCTGCAGCTGCTCTGGGTTTACTTCTCCCTCAGTTGTCTACTGAGTGCTTACTATGTGCTAGGCGTGTGTCCAGGCCCAGACACAGGGAAGCATGGCTGTGCCCTTGACAAGCAGCGCTGGTCCGTGAACCCAGCACTGAGAGAGACCACAGTGACACTTAGTGGTGTAGCCAGCCCCTCTCATCCTCTGAGATGCTTCCCTGGTGGCTTTCGGGTCCTCTGCTTGCCATCCCCCTTCCTGCATGGGGCTGTAGACCTGGAAGAATAAGGGCTTGGGGGTGGACCTCATGTCCATGGTCCACTCTACCTCCCTCACCTGCAGATGCCGCATTCCACGATGCCCTTGCCGCTGCAGTAGTTCTGGTTGGGTCTGGTGTTGTGGCATTGGCACTCACACTGCGGGAGCACGCGCACCGTCACTGTGTCTGTGAAGCCCAGCGGGCGGATCACAAACGACTGCTCCTGAGTACACTCCTTAGCTGTAACCTTCACCTGGAAGGTGATCTGCCGGTGCAAGGAGCAGGGGAGGATACAGGGTTCAGTCAAAGCCACTGAACCCTTCCTGGTCAGTCATGGAGCAGTCGTACCCAGTCTTGCCTGTCTACTCCACTTCCCTAGCCTGGCTGGCTGGGCACAGGATTGGGTGAAGATGCCTCAGCCCAGCAGGCTCAGAGGTCCTTGGAGGGGGCAGGCTGGGGGGATAGGGAAGGGAATAACAGGAAACCCATCAGCCAGGCTTCTGCAGGTCCTGGGGACCCAGGGAATAATGAGAAACTTTTCAGGTGTCTATAGGTAAGGAGCTCTGGTAGTGTAGTGGTTACGAATCGGGCTGCAAACCGCAAGGTCAGCAGTTCAAAACTACCAGCTGCTCCGAGGGGGAACGATGAGGCTTTCTGCTCCTGTAATCAGAAACCCTGTACAGGGTCCCTATGGGTCGGAACCAACTCAACGGCACTTAACAACAACAACATAGGTACAGAGGACGAGAGATGGAATAGAGAGTAAAAACTGGAAACTTGGAATCTGGGATGCAGGGACAATAGCAGCTGCTCTGCCCAGCACCAGGAGCCTCTGCAAAGTTAGACTGAGATTTTTTGTCAAAGAAGGAATTATCTTTAAAGTATCTTCCATCACACATAAAAAGGATTTTAAAGTGACATTAGTATAGGTCCATAGGTGCCTTAGGGTGGTGCAAATTATTAAGCCGTTCAGCTGAACTGAAAGGCTGGATGCTTCAGTTCACCCAAAGGTACCTTGGAAGAAAGGCCTGCTGTTCAATGATGAAAAAGCAACTATTGACAACCCTGTGGAGCATAGTTCTGCTCTGACAAATGGCGAGTCACTGCGAGTTGGGCTTGACTCAACTACAGCTGTTTTGTTTTTTGGTTGAGGTCCAGTCTTCTAAAACACCAGAATCCTATGTTGTTGTTAAGTACCGTGGAGTCAGCTCTGACTCATAGTGACCCTACACAGGGTTTCCAAGGCTGCAAATCTTTATGGGAGCAGAAAGCTTCATCTTTCTTTGGCGGAACAGCTGGTAGTTTCGAACTACCGACCATGAGGTTAGCAGTCCGATTAGTAACCACTACACTACCAGAGCTCCTTAGAGCGCCTTTGTTGTTTTTGTTAAGTGCCGTCGAGTTGATTCCGACCCATAGCGACCCTGTATAGGGTTTCCAAGGAGCAGCTGGTGAGCTTGAACCACCGACCTTGCAGTTCAAACGACTTTACAGTCTGACGCATTAGCCCACAGCGCCACACCAGGACTCTTTTGGTAGCTGTGTGCCATGGAGTCAGTTCTGACCCACAGCGACCCTGTATGGGGTTTCTGAGGCTGTAAATCTTTACAGGAGGAGAACGCCTCATCTTCCTCCCACGGAACAGCTGGTAGTTTTGAACTGCTGACCTTGCAGTTTGCAGCCTGATTCGTAACCACTATGCTACTGGAGCTCCTTAGGACTCCTTTGTTGTTGTTAGGGGCCATCGAGTTGACACCAACTCATAGTGCAGCAGAACGAAACAATATCCAATCCTGGGCCAACGTCACTACTGTTGCCACACTTGAGTCCACCGATGCAGCCATCTGGTCAATCCATCTCATTGGGAGTCTTCCTCTTTTTCTCTGACCCTCCATCTTACCAAACATGATATCCTTCTCCAGCGACTGTTCCCTCCTGACAATATGTCCAAAGTATGAGAGACAAAGTTTGGCCATCTTGGCCTCTAAGGAGCACTCTGGCTGCACTTCTTCCAAAACGGATCAATTGGTTCTTTTGGCAGCCCAACACCATCACTCAAAGGCATCAATTCTTCTATGGTCTTCCTTATTCACGGTCCAGCTTACGCATGCATATGAGGTTATTGAGAATACCATGGCTTGAGTCAGGCACACCTTGATATAGGACTCCCTAGGAAGGCCTAAATTCTGGATCTGAAGCAATATTTAAATAAAAGGAAACGGACCAGTTCCATTTGTATGCATACATCTGTATGCAGATACACAGCAGAATAGATCCCCAAGGAGCTCTGGTAGCGTAGTGGTTACGAATTGGGCTGCGAACCTTAAGGTCAGCGGTTCGAAACTACCAGCCGCTCTGCGGGAGAAAGATGAGGCTTTCTACTCCCGTAAAGATTTACACCCTCGGAAACCCTGTACAGGGTCGCTATGGGTCGGAACCGACTCGATGGCACTTAACAACAACAACAACAACCCATATTACAACCTGCGATATGCAGATAATACAACCTTGCTTGCTGAAAGTGAAGAGGACTTAAAACTTTTACTGATGAAGATCAAAGAGCACAGCCTTGGGTATGGATTGCATTTCAATGTCAAGAAAACAAAAATCCTCACCACTGGACCAACAAACAACATTTTCTTATCAATGGAGAAATGATTAAAGTTGTCAAGGACTTCATTCTTCTTGGGTCAACTATCAACACTCATGGGAGCAGCAGTCAAGAAATCAAATGACGTATTGAAGTAAGCAAATCTGTTGCACAAGACCTTTTTGAAGTGTTGAAGAGCAAAGATGTCACCTTGAGGACTAAGGTGTGCCTGACCCAAGCCATGATATTTTCAATAACCTCATATGCATGTGAAAGCTAGACAGTGAATAAGGAAGACCGGAGAAGAATTGATGCCTTTGAGTTATGGTGTTGGAGGAGAATATTGAACGTGCCATGGGTTGCCAAAAGAACCAATAGATCTGTGTTGGAAGAAGTACAGCCAGAATGCTCTTTGGAAGCCAGGATGGCCAAACTTCATCTCTCATACTTTGGACATATTGTCAGGAAGGACCAGTCACTGGAGAAGCATATCATGCTTGGTAAGATGGAGGGTCAGAGAAAAAAAGGAAGACCCCCAGCGAGATGGATTGGCAAAGTGGCAGCATCAATGAGCTCAAGCGTGGCAACAATTGTGAGGTTGACCAAGGACCAGGCAGTGTTTTGTTCTGTTGTGCATAGGGTCGCTATGAGTTGGTAGCGACTCATGTCACCTAACAACAACAACCCACATTACATGATTATGTTGGAGGTGAGCCTCGAATTTTAGGGAACATGGACTTGTCAGGAGCAAGCTACAAAAAAACCCCTATATTTAAATGAATTTGCATACACTACATCAAGATAGCGTTAAAGGAAAAGAAGTAAAAGTATGCAAGAAATACACCCCGCACTTATAGGAAAAAGAACCCAATCCTCTTGTGGGTCATCCAGCATGAGGTGAAAATTTTAAGTAAAAATTCATATGTAACATTTAGTAAGTAATATATATGAAGGAATTCTAATGTCATATTCAAATATTGAATGCAAGTATTTTGCTGGTTGTTAGTTCATAGCAAGCGAGGGTAAAATGGAAGTATTATGGTCGTAATAAATTTAAATCTAATGTCTATTTCTATTAGCTGTGTTACTTGGGATTTATTGCTTAAAAAAAAAAAAAAAAGCCATAAACAAGCCAGACAATTAAACGAAGCAAATTTAAGGGGTTTGAAACACCCTCCGTTGCCTGGATGCTATGTTAAAGTCTGCCCTCAGGGGGTGCTGTCCGTATATATACCATTGTTGTCCTTATGTGCCTTTGACTTGGTTTCCACTCATAGAGACCCTGTCTAGAGTTTCCAAGGAGTGGCTGGTGGGTTTGAACTGCCAACCTTGTGGTTTAAGCCAACCTTGCAGTCCAGTGCATTATCCTGCAGCATCACAACAGGACTCTTCAACAATTTCAGGGAAAATTCTGCTATTGAACTGATAAGTATGGTAATGTGTAGCACAGAATGTGCTAACTGCTCTGCCTGTGCTATCTCTTTAACGTTTAGGACGTGAATTTGTGGTGAATTTGTGATTATAGTGGGTTGCCATAAAGTTGACCCTAATTCATAGCTACCCCATTCTCATCACACTGTGTGTCAGAGTAGAATTGCACCATTGGGTCTTCAAAGCCATACTCTTTTGGAAACAGATCTCTAGCTCTGTCTTCCAAGGCACCTCGGGAGGATTCCAACCACCAACCTTTCAGCCAGTAGAGGAGTGCTTAACCATTTGTGCCACCTAGGGACTCCTGAAAATTTTACAATGGTATATTTTTGGCCTCATTAGATAAAAGATTCAATGGGAAGGAAACAGGACTGGTGGGCAGAGTCCCTGGCTCCTTTTCCTGCATGCCCATTTCCACCATGAGCCTCAGTTTGCCTGCATGCACCAGAAAACCCTACAGACACCCCCTTCCAGAATGTTGGACGTAGAGACTCAATGGCTCCCACAGCATGAGTTGTGCTCACCGGGACATTGATCTGTACACCGTCACAGTCTCCTCGGGGCTGGTCCAGTAGTGAGATGCCATTACTGCAGAAGGAGTCATAGGAGACTTTCAGGTTGTCAGGGAGGGTGCTGTGGTCTAGGAAGACTCTGGAGGAGAGTTTCTGTGGGCAAAGATGGCCACAGCTCTGAACAAATGACTCTGCTGTCCCTTGTCCTCCCTACTTCCCATCCTCTCAGCATCAGTTAATGACAACATGCCCACTGAGGGGTCATTGCCAGGGGAATTACAATCACCACAGTCCTGCCCTCAAGGACTTCTAGGCCAGCAGATGAGACTAGCCTGGGGACAGGGTGAGCCTCTTGGAACAGGGCTTCATTCTTGTCACTCACACTGAGTCCCCAGTGCCTGTCACAGGGTAGGAGTTGTGCAATGTGGAATGAATGAAAGAGAAAGAGATACACACACAAAGAAAGTGGGGGAGAGAATAAGAGAGAGAGAACTAGTGGATGAACCAATGATGGATACAGTATCAGTGCAAAGACAGAGATACCAATAGGCCACAGAAATGCACAGAAGAGGGATTGCTCTGGGAGTTTAGGGCTCACAAAGTGCTGTGAGAAGCAAGTGAAACCTCCTCATTGAGGTTCTAATTTAACTGCATGACATCAGCATCTATTGGATGCGCTCAGGATGTTGTGCACTGTCAAACCACTGGGACTTCCAGCCTAGAATGGTAACCATAATGTTCTTCTTTGGGAAAGAGGATCTCCCACAGTGGTCTAGTGCTGGAGTCTGGATAATGTCTGAGGATCCCACATCCACCACAACTATTGGATTCTTTTCAAAGGGAGCACCACAGGGTGGAGCTTAAGGGAGCCACACTCAGGATAAAGATGATGGGTGAGGGTTACTCTGAACACCTTCAGGAGGGGAGAGGGGAATTGATGAGCAAGACATGCCAACCTTGAGGGTGCAGGGGCTCCCCTTCTGTTGACCTGTACTGGGGGATGGTTTTGCTGACTACCCCATGGACTCTAGCTTCAGTTCATCACTTTAAGGCAAGCCTGAAGGAGACTCACATTGTAGGCATTTTTGATGAGCTGGACCACGTTGCTGGAATCTTCAGAGAGTTCTCCAACTGCTGACTTGGGGATGATTTCCGTGAGCTTCTGTAAGTAGGAGGACCAACACAAGGCGGTGAGGATCCTCAATGTTCACTTAGCTCTGCAACACCCACAGGCTTCTATTCTCATAAACCGCGTCAGAAAACTCTCAACCCAACTTCCTTATTTTATTTAGCTGAGAGAGCAATTGATAAGTGGTGTGCTCGTAACCAGGTCTCAGGAAAAAAAGAGAAAAAGTCCTACTTTGTAACTTTTTTTCATTCCCCTGGCATAACTACTCCTACTACATTTAATTTCAAGCCATCAATGTGATATCACTGAAGGTAGAATTGGGACGAGATTCATGGAAGCCCCTATTAGATAATGTCCCCCTCATATAGATACAATAAGCACACATGGCTCAAGGCCACAGATAATAGAGAAATGCAGAAAATCATCAAGAAATGCTGAGTTCTGAGGATTTTCATGATTTTACTTTCATTTTTAACAATGCTGTACTAAACAACACTGTGACCATCAGTTCTGGTGGACCTGCTGGTCCAGTTAAGCCCTGGAATGCAGATGAACCCTGGCCAGCTATGGGGACAGTCACACCACTGTCTTCCCTACACCTACCTCTGCATCAGTTCCAATACCCTTCTTCACAAGGACTTCATAGTCATCTTATTTCACAGAAAAAATGGGTGTGATAAGGTTACTTTCACGATAGTGATAAAAACAACAAGAAGATATATTTTTTTTTAAAGAAAGAATAAAAACTGCTCTAGGAAGAAAATAAAATTCCCCACAAGAGCTTCACCCTGTAGAACAATAGAAGAACAGTAATTCAATGACATCAAGATAAACTCAGTTCCTAACGCAGAGGAGGAACCAATGGGAAGAAGGAAGTGTCCTTAGTGCAAACAAGTGGTACTTTCCCTGGGGGAGGTGGCAACAGGGAGTGACCCATGTGTGTCCTTGTGAAATTCATCAAACTGTAGAGTTATGAAAGATGCGTGGACGTTTCTATAGATGCCCCATGTTATTGTTGTTAGATGCCATTGAGTTGTGATAGCTCATGTATGCAGAATACTGTCAGGCTTCTCAGTTGTAAAAGTCACACTCTGAGCACAGTGGACACCAGCCCAGCCCCCACACGCAGCAGGCGGAAGCAGAGCTCAGGCTGTGGTCACACTGAGTGTTGTCATCACTCCGCTGAAATGGCAAAAGCCCTGCCTGTGTTGCCCAAGATGCCTGGCCCCACTTACCTCATAGGTTTTCACCATTCTACTTGTCACAGCAAAGATAGGCTGAATGTTGTTCTCAGCTAGTTTATGTGCCAGCTGGCCCACTGATGGGTAGTCCTAGAGAAACAAGATGCCCGGTCAGATGTCCCAAGGGCCTGGAGACAAGATTTTTAGGTGCCCACTTGGCTTCTTTCCCTCTCAGGTACTGCCCAGAATCCAGAGGGTGTCAGCAACAGTCCTTCCTTATGTTGCGGATGGAGCCTGCTCGAAATAATGCTAATCAATGTATAAAACAAAGGCAATCATATTGTTATTGGGTGCTGATTCTGACTCATAGCAACCCAATGTGACAGAATTACCTGAGAGAAGCTATTGTTGTTGTTAAGTGCCATCGAATCAGTTCTGACTTATAGCAACCCTGTACAGCATTTCCGAGGAGTGACTGGTGAATCTGAACCACCAACATTGTGATTCAAACCAACCCTGTAGTCCAGTGCGTATCCTACAGCAGCACCACACCAGGACTCTAGCTGTTGGATTTGAAATGCTGACCTTTTGGTTGGCTAACAGCTAAGCACTTAGTCACTGTGCCCCCAGAGCTCCTTTAAGGAGGATCATGAAGGAAAATCAATTATCTGAATACAACTAAGAAAATATTAAGAATTATGATGTGTGTCTCGATTATAGCAAAATGCAAATCTCGTGGCAGTAATCACCCCAAGCTTTCAAATTAGACTTTATGGATACTGTTCTGAGGAGTCCATGCTCAGCAGCTTCTTGGAAACCCTTCACTTTCTATCAGGGTCTGAAGCTGAGGCCCCTATACTCCACTCATAGTGGACTTCATTTCTTTCTGTCCATGTCCATGGATTCCTGAATTCTATCCACTGACCCCACCCCCATCCCAAGTCTGTAGGCCCCAGGAGAAGAAGCCCCAAGTTGCACCCTCTCTGAAAGCCTTTGAGTTTAAAACAGAATGCAGCTGGCTTTCCTTACTGATGGTAATTGTGTCCTCTGATGTCCAGTGTGGGGTCCTGGTGTGAACCTCAAGTTCAGTGATTCAAGCTCACCAGCTGCTGTTAAGAAACCCCATACAGGGTCGCTATAGGTTGGAACTGACTCAATGGCACTTAACAACAACAATGTCCAGTGTGGGGTCCTGCTATGGCGCTGTAGGATAAGCACTGGACTGCTAACTCAAGGTCAGTGGTTCAAACCCACTAGCTGCTCCTTGGAAACACTACACAGGGTTGCTATGATAGCACTTAGCAACAAGTGCTGACTTGAGAGCACGTAACAACAAGAACAAAGTCACCACAGTCTGAGAGCTGGAACAATACGGCAGAAAATCGTCTCGTTCTATCTCAGCTGGGAGCAGCAGAAAAATGAAAATTTTAGCTTAACTGCGTGAAACACTGCAGAAGTGGCACAGTGTTGATTTGGGGTTATAAATAAAGTTTAGCAAGTAGGTAGCTTTGCAATACAGGCTCCATTAATAATGAGGACTTACTGTGTATAGTGTGTCTATTTGGGTAGTGCCTGTACCCCAAACCAGAGTACTCACGGACCAACCCCCCCCCGCCACATGCTGCTATAGTGCCTCCCCTGGGAAGCAAGAATTCCCACACAGCAAGCTTGAAGGTGGACCAATAAATAATATCATGATAAACAGAGAAAAGATTGAAGTCGTCAAAGACTTCATTTTGCTTGAATCTACAATTTGTTGTTGCTGTTGTTTAATGCCATTGAATCAGGGACTCATAGGGACTCATAATGATGCTGTTTAGGGTTTCCAAGGAGTGGCTGGTGGGTTTGAACCACTGACCTTGCAGTTCAAACTGACCTTGCGGTCCAGTGCTTATCCTACAGCACCATACCAGGCCACTCATGAAAGCAGCAGTCAAGAAATCAAATGATGTATTGCATTAGGCAAATCTACTGCAAAAGATATCTTTAGAGACTTAAAGAGCAGATATCAGTTTGAGGACTAAGGTGTGCCTACCCCAAGCCATGGTATTTTCAATTGTCTCATATGCATGTGACAATTGGACAATGAATAAGGAAGACCATAGAAGAATTGATGCACCTGAATTATGGTGTTGGAGAACAATATTAAAAGCACCATGGACTACCAAAAGAACAAACAAATCTGTGTTGGAAGTACAGCCAGAATACTACTTAGAAATGAGCATGGAGAGACTTCTCGTACTTTGAACATATTATTAAAAGAAGGACCAGTCCCTGGAGAAGAATATCATGCTTGGAAAAGTGGAAGGTGAGTAATAAAGAGGAAGATACCCAACAAGATGGATTGGCACAGTGGCAGCAGCAATGGGTCAACTATAACAATTGTAAAGATGGAGTAAGGCCCAACAGTATGCTCTGTTGAGCATAGGGTCACTATGAGTTGGAACTGACTCAACAGCACCTAACAACAAGCTTCAGGATGAAGTCCGAGAGACCTAGCACTGCCCAGCTTTGTGCCTGCAGGGTTCCCAGGTGCTGCAGATAGCAAGGCAGCCAATCCTAATGACCCTGCCATCACCCTGGTCATCTTCCTTCCTGCCAGTTCTGGGTTGGTGCTCAGCTGGGCCTCGTGACTGGTGCTGCACTGCTGGTGATCATGAGAAGCTGCTCTAGAAGGCCCCTCCCTCCACTGCTGCGCTGCATGGGGTGAACCGAGAGGGCAGGGTGTGTGTGGTGAGCCTCGGCAGGGCACCCCTGGAAGATTCCAGAGGCCAAGGACTTACAAACTCGTTGCTCCTTTTGTACATGTTGTCCTCCAAGTGACAGTGACCATCATTGGGGGTGAGGATGGCACCCAGCTTCCCATCCCCAGCAATGTGGAAGCCATCGTCCGTGGCATACACCAGCAGGCGTGTGACGTTGCGCCAACCAATTTCTTCCTGTGAAGAGAGCAGCTGTCATTGCCTGACTGTTTTACCATCTCAGGGCTGGTGCTGAGCTCCCCTTCCCAGTACTGGGTTTTCATGGCAAGAGGACTCTGAGAGAGCAAATGGAGAAAGCAAACAGAGGCCACTAGGCACAGTTCACCAGCTGTGAGTTCTTGATGTCTGTTCCAGACTAACACGTGGAAGCCACTTGAGGAATGTTTGCCAAGATCACAGATTTTAAATGTCAACTACATAGATATAGGAGTCCTGGTGTGGCACTGTGGGTTAAT